AAACATTGTTTTAATATTATAAATTATTAATTTAATAATTATAATCAAAATGAATTCACGTTGTTGTTCTGCCAGGCTCTTTTTTTAACAATTTTTTTTTTTTTTTAAATTTATAAAAAAGAAAAAATTAATGTATGGAATTTCCGCCAATGTAACATTTGATTTCTTCACATAAAAAATTGTCCTTGTGGTTAGGCAGTTAAATTACAACAATGTTTTTATAATAGTTTTAATCCATAAAATCATTTTTAGTTTCAATTATTAAAAAGATTTATTTTTGTTTATGTAGCTATGTAAAAAAGATAAATCTTTTCAATAACTGAAAGTAAACATTCTCTTTTATTGAACTTAAATTCTTTCTCCAAAATTCATGTATTAAAATTTTATAGCTTTTGAAACAGATTTTCTATTTACTTTTTTAAGTAAATAGAAAATCTGTTTCAAAAGCTAAATAAACAGATTTTCTATTTACTTAAAAAAATAAACAGATCTTCTATTTACTTAAAAAATAAACAAACTTTTATTTGAAGTTTCCTGAAAAAAGCTTTTTCACACTAAAGTTTGTATTAACATATTTGATTCCCATCAAAAATTGTATTTAATTTTGTTTTATAATATTTTTCTTTAGCATAAATGAACTTTCCTGTGTTAAATTATTATAGCATTTAAAATACTTTGAACTTACTTTTCTCATTTATTCCTTCTCAGAGCCAAACAAGATACAAGTTTTATAAGTAGAAGTGTATAAAAAAAAGTTAAAAACGAGTATTTTTATCCAATATGATTAAGTTATAGTTTTTTCAACTTTTACCATGATTTGTTTTAATATTTTTAAAATAAAACTATTAAAATTTCATCTTCTAATAACTGAAAAAATCTATCTGATTGAATCTCATACCTTATAAAAATGGTCAAATTCAATATCTGTTATTTAGCTTTCAACCTCCTATTTTTTTAAATTTATTGTAAAGTTTGTTAAAATTGCTTATATCTCTTAAAAAAAAAAAAAATCAAGGGATATGTTTTTACTGAGTTGCACTTTTACTCTTTTTTTCTTTTAACAAAAATAACATTGTTTTTATTCTTTTTAAAAATGATTAAATTTTTTAATTGTGAGAAATTTATTTTAGACAGTAAAAGTTTCATATCCAAACAAAGCAAATTTTCTGAAGAAAGTAATGGATTTTCATTAATCCAACATTTTTTTTTTTCACTTTAAACAATTTTTAGCATATACTCATATTTGAATAGATGCTCTATTTATTTATTAAACAGTATATTTATTACTTATTCGAATTGTGCCAAGGAGAATAAATTTTTCTTTAATAAGATTTCTCGAATATTCAGGCCAGTAGACGAAAATAAATAAATATACTGTGTAATTAATAAACAGATCTTCTACTCAAATAATAATAATCATAATTTTTAGATGTGCTCATGAAAGCTTTAAAGAACTCTCAAAAAAAAATTATGGCGATACATCATTATATCTTGTAATTTTCAACATTAACTCGTATTAAACTGTTGAAAAATACATCACATTACGTAAATGACTTTACTGAATGTCTATGAATAAATTTATCATTTACTAACTTCTATCCAGCTATGATTTGGTTTTTAATCTTCCCAATTTTTATAATACCTGCTGTGAATATTAATGAAATTAATATTTTTGTTTTCCTCAGATGGACTGCTGTGGCTACCTGGCGTTGGATAGCTAATGATGATAACTGTGGAATCTGTCGAATGGCTTTTGATGGCTGCTGTCCTGATTGTAAACTTCCTGGTGATGACTGTCCCCTTGGTAAGTATCTGCTAATTATTCACATTCATCAACGAAATATTTTATAAACAAAACTGTTCTGAATAATGTTTATCAGGGTTTGAGATTAACAATGGCCATCATACCTAGTCGCTACTCTAAGTTGGCATAAAAAAATTTATAAACAACCAGCTACTTAGCAACTTTATTTTTAAAATATTAGTTTTATTTAAGTTTGTCTGAAAATTTGAGAAGAATCATTAGCATTCCATTTGTTTAAACTCATTTTTATATTGCTTTTTTTTTTTTCTTTTCTTTAGAGCATTTCAGACAATCCATTCTTTTTTTTTTTTTTTTTGTTGTTTCCAGGTATGCAGTTCATAAGAAAAGAGGGGTTTCTTTTTAAACAGAAAAATGGTAGAGGTGGTAGAATGAATATTGAAAAACGTAGCATATATTATCCTTTGTGCAAATGTGTGAATCAGGCCAATGTTAATTTCAGTGTGGTTTTCTTTGCTCAACAGAATTGGATAACACCCCTATGTATAGAATAGTATCATCTGTGTTGTACAAATGCTTAAAATGCTGTTTTCTGTGTAGCTCCAGTTGCTGGGAATGAGCCATGCTAAACCAATCAGTATATTCACCCACATTTTTTGTAGAAAAGAAACACCACACCACAGATTGTATACCTGAAGATGCTTATGAAATTTGCTAAGAACAAAAGCCACAAAAAGTTTAATAGTGCAAAAAGCTCATGAAATTATTTCTTTGTTTACTAAAATTTGTGAATAATTGAAAATACTTATGAACAGAGACAATACACTTCTGGAATAATATGTAAACTATCTAATAACAATATCTTAATTCTTTATTACATGGGGTTATTCTTAGGCCTGCTACTGGTAACATGTAACCCAGTACAACCTGCCACATGGACAGGTAGTTGGCATCTAAACCAGCCCCTCCACTAGCATTTTTGCTGCTGAGGAAGGTGGCATGCCACCCCACAGGCCAAAAAACAAAATCTGTCAAAGGTCAGATGAGCTTCTTATAGTAATCAATTCTTAGTAATCAAAAATTATAAAGCTTAATACCCATCTTCAAACACTGAGATTTGGGGAAAAAAAAATTTTTTGTGTCTGTAAGAAAGTATAGATGACTATACACAACATTATCAGAAAATAAGAGTGATGACTATAGTAAATTTAAAGTCAACATTCCTAAAATTAGATTACAGAGAATATTTTCGAAAATTTTTAATATTTCTGATTAGTTAAAAATTATATAAAAAAGGTACTCAGGTCATTTTCTTAAATTATGCTTTACCGATAAAGTCTCTGTAAAACAACAATAAATCTTTCATCACCTTGTCAAACATGTAAACATAGCTACTGTCAGTTAAAAACACAGCTACTATTTGGTTTAATAATGTGTTTTTGTATTATTTTAAACTTAAAGTAAATAATATTTGTTTCGAATCAGATTAATTATACTTTAAATCAGCTAATATTCCTCAAGTAAAGTTTGAGTTAAGTATATTTTAGTTTGGAAGACTTTTTAATAAAGAGAATAACATTGCAATGAAAGACTAGTAAAAAAAGGGCACTAATTAGTTATTTTAGAAAAGTAAAAAAATGATTCCAATCAATATAAGTTCTGTTTGAAATACACCAGAGAATTTTGCTTACTGAAAATAGTAAAATTAATTCTTTAGCTTTCAATTAAAGCTAAAATATTGCAAATTAGTGACGATATATAGAATTGGATCTGAAGCCTTGAATGGTGATCTTCCTAAAGATGATGTCTCAATAAAAACACTCAGTGCACTTGGACTACTGTGAGTATCTGAGTTGGGCATCAGGAAGAGCATGCAGCCTTGGAAAACTTTGCCTCAAATGATGACAAATTCAGTCAAGCAACACCCACCTTGCTTTGTGCAAGATTAATCCTGGTTCTGCCTCAACAGAAAAACGTGTGTGTGTTAAAATACTAAAATATGCAGCTAAACTATCATAGTTAATATCCAGTTTGATTAAACAAAAATATTTTGTATTTTGGCTTTCAAAATATCTATATTAAAAAATGTACTCAAGTCAAATTTTTAGGTTCATAAAATGTGAATAAGGAACAGCCTTGTTTACTAAATATTTGTTTATCAAGAAAGAAATGATGCTGTAATTAATGTTTTATTTTAAATTAAATTTTTGTTTAAATTTGCCTTTTTCAGTATTCATGTTAATTTTTGCAGTTTGCAAACTTTTACTTGAACATATAAATTGATGATAAATATGACTTTCTTATCTTTAAATTATCTTTTCTCTCTAAAGTATTATTGATATTGATTTCATTGTTTCAGTTTGGGGCCAATGCTCTCATTGCTTTCACATCCACTGCATTGTGAAATGGCTCAACTCACAACAGGTTCATCAGCTTTGTCCAATGTGTCGACAAGAATGGAAATTTAAGGAATGACAACTGTTGGACTTTCCAGATAGAAATATATATTTTTGTTTATAATTTTTTATACAATAATTATTTAATAAAGAATATTTTAAAAATCTGTATTTTCTGAGTGTCATCTAAATTATTATCTTCAGAAGAAAAATTTTAAAAATAGATGCAATATCTATTTCTTTAACTACAAGATGAGTAAGTATATATCCTTGTATAATTATTAACTTAATTTCAATCTGAAACGTTCACTGTATAAAGTTTGATCTCATGATTAATATTCACAACTGAATTTACTATGTTGACAAAGAAAGAGATCCTGTTGTAAAATAAATGCTTTTTTTTTTCTTTTCATCATTAGACTACACATTTATGTACTCTTAAAAATATTAAATATCTTTACAGTGCAAATTAAATGATTTGTGTTCATAAATAAAAATTAAGACAAATTTCATCCATTTTTCAACAGCTGCCTTCTGTTCAGCCAATACAAATTGTTTCAGAAATTTCAAAATACCAGTAGACATTTCTTTTCAAAGTGACAGCTAAGTGGTTCAATTTTGGGGTGATAGCTTTGAGGCTTTAAATCTAGCAAGTGAGATAGGTTACATTAAGGTAATGAAAAGAAACCCAGAACCTTGTCAGCAGTAACAACATTCAAGCAGCATAATGATTGGCACAGAATATTTATAAACTTAAACTAAATTACATGTTTAGCAGCAGTAAATAGGCAAAGTTCTAATAAAACAAAAACCAAATAAGAAGAAAATGTTTATTGCACCCTTTATGCTGTTTTTATGTCTGTAACTTTGTCCACTTCACTTGGTGTATTTTTTAATAATTGTCGACAAGAATTCAGCAGTTCTGAAATTTGGGAAAAAAAATCTGAGCATTAGATATTTGAAATACAGAAGTAAAGGTTATAAAATTCATTTGTATATATCTAAAATGGACAAATAGTTAAATATTGGTGATTTATCAATGTACAATGATAATATTTAATATTACATTGAAAAGCTGTTAATATATATCACTAATTTAGAATAAAGTAATAAAAAATCTAATTCATATTTTTTTTATAAAAGGAAAAAAATAATTTTGGATAACAACTTCAAATAAAAATAACTTCTCTAAAGATTAATTTTTTTCTTTTACAAATTCAGTCATGTTAATATATGCAAAAAGTGCATGTATCTACAAAATGAACAATAAAATATGAAATCTACTTAGTCAAACAATTCTTAAATTTGACAAAAAATTTTGAATAACCTGTCCTATTTTTTTTTTTTTTTTTTTTTAACTAACAAATTATTGATATATTAATTCGGCACTTCTTCAAGATTAATGTCAACCTTAGTCATTTTTTTTTTTTTTTTTTACTAATATTCACCCAATACTAGGCCCAATAGCCACTCAAGGTAAAGGAATTAGGAAAGGACAAGTGTTAGGAGTATAGAGCTGAAGTAGACTTTAGAAGGAAACAAGGGATAAACTTCTACTGTTCAAAAGACCAGAGAGGAGTGTGAACCAGACAATAGGCAAACCTATCTACTCCTACTGGTGAAGGAGAGAAAAAAAAATGAAATAAATAGTAAAAAAAAAATTCAGAGTTCAGGTGCAGACATGAGTACAGAGCTGAATCAGACTTTAGAAAGAACCGGAAACAAGTGATAAATCTCTACTGTTCAAAGAGTATGAACTGGGTGATAGGCAAACCTATCTACTCTTATAAATATATATTTGCAAAATATTTTTGTAGAATTGGTATAGTGAATATATTCCTTTCCTGCTTACCATCAGGTTAGATATTAGAATCAGGATAACCAAGAGGCTCTTCCAAAACATTTTTAAAAAGTCTGGTATTTAATAAGATTTTGTGAGTCAGAATTTTTCAGCACTTCCATTTTATGCATTTGCTTTATTTTGATAGAGATTACAAAGAAATATAATTCTGTTTATTATTATTTATTTTGGAGTTTAAGATGTATTTTCAATATTGTTGTAATCTAAAAAGGGTTACTGAATGAAGAATAACCAAAATGGAGGTTGGAAATGAAATGGTAATCTTTATAACATCAACAAAATACAATACTTGCCAGTGGCATGAAATAGGTAAACCACTGCTAGTGATGGACTACTACGACAGCATATTACCCCAACTTACAATAGTGTCCAACATACACATTAGTGTTCATAGATACAGTATATAACAAATATTCTCATTGTTTTTTTTTTTTTCACAAAACTGGAGATTGAAATATAGTGAAGTAAAACAGCATAAAAAGGAAATTTGTTTTTTTTACCTTTGAAATTATTTTCAGCTTCTTCCACTTCTGAATCTTCATCACTGGAGATGGTCCAAAATTTTGCAGGAATTTTGACTGGTTCGACTGGCTTTGTATCTGTCAAGAAAACCAAATGAGGATTCATTACCTCAGCTTTACACAGACATAAATTGGGATATTCCTCATGTATATAATGTATGATAAAAATGAAAATTCTTTGCATGCTTTTAGGCAAATTAGCTTAACAGTATTCTATCCAGAGAAACTACATGATAATCATTGACATATACCATACTCTTGAATAATATGGTTAATCGAGTCCCAAATATAATATTAATTACTGTATTTGCTAGCATAGTGACGCACCCAGAGTTTGGTATGTAATATGGGGGGGGGCACACATTACAACCAAAAAAAATTAAAATTATAACCATACCTTTAAATGACATTTTCACTAACCATGAAGAAGCACTTACAGTATTAGCACAAATTATTCTACTGATACTTTTTTTTTTAATAAAAGTGAGTTAAAGTTTAATTACCACATTTTTTTTGAAAAGGAAGAATTTTAGTACATTTCATCATGCATTTATTAAAAATTGTTTTGTTTTTCAGGGAGCAACATCTGCACATAAGTAAATTCATAACAGCTACTGGTATCAGTGAAAACTGGTACATATGGTAATAGGCAAAAAAAAAAACCCAGAAATGTGATACTTGTTGGTAAAATCCCATACCATACATGCAGAAAAATAAATCCCAATACCTGTATATCAATAAAAACACAAAGCAAGCAGCAGTATACCAGTCAGCTAATATTACTGTAAAATCTGGCATTTCTACAAAACAATCAGCAAAATGTGCAATTCCATAAATTTCTTTTTCTTGGGTGAATTTTTCAGGAATATTTTTATTGATATCATGTTTGTTCCCTTCTAGGAGTACTAGTTTCAGAACTAAGCTCTATGTATGCAGGTTCCTATTGAACACCACTTTTATTGTGGTCATCATGTCCCCCTCATACTGCTATATTGGACAAGGTTTTTGGGGGTTTTTTTTTTTTAAATTATAAGTTTATTCAACTTTATGATGGTACCAGAATATTACATTATTCTAGTACCTTCCTAATACAATTTTAACTGTGAATTAATAAAAATTGATTACAAAATATAAGCTTTAGTAAATTAAGAACTGCATTAAAGAAAATAATAATCAAATGTACATTGTATTTTGAATCCATAATTTTTTTGTCATCTATGAAGCTACATTTATTAAACCTTGCAATACCAATTAACACCTCATAATTTCTGGGATGTGGAGTTATTATTTACATGCTAACTATTGTCATAATCTTTGTTGTTATCATAATCTCTCGGCTGTTGTGCTCTCCGGCCATTATCGTATGCTTGTCAATCTTTTTGAAAGCTGAACCGTTTATTTAATCTACAGGGGTAGATTGTTCTCATTCCACTGCCCGTGTCTAGGGACTTCTCATCTACTTCTTATTTAACACTGCTCAGTTATTGCTCACCCCATTTCCTACCTGGCACAGGGATGGAACATACAATTAAAACATTTTAATCCACTAGACTAGTTGTTCCCAAACATTGACGCACCTCATAGGTGAGGTGAAATAGGATAGTAGGTGAGATGGAATAATTTAGAAACAATTTCAAAAAATTCATAAGCCAAAAATAAAGATGATTTCAAAATTATAATTTTATTATGGATTACTTGTAATTGCATGCATTAGTCCCAGTATAAATAGTTATAAATAATTACTGACAGATTTTATCATTGTGATATTTTTGCATTATATCAAGTATTAAAATATATAGTAACTAGGATCTACAAATTGGAGGAGAGAGTTATCAGTGATAATGTTTTGACTTCAAATCCGCAGTTATCTCCCTTTAAACTTCTCTCTGATTTTTATTTTTTATTTTTAAATGTACTTTTTTTTACATAAAATTTGGTGAGGTGCAAGCAAATTTTCATTCCGAAAATGCGACCCGGACAAAAATTTGGGAACCACTGGCCTAGGCTATTGTCCCATGACACAATAGCTTAATGTTTCAAAATTCACAATATCAATATCTACTCAACAAGGCTACAAGCACCTTGTAAGAATCAAATTCATGACAGTAATAATGATTAAATTTTATCAATGACTTATTACTACTGAATGTAAAGCCCTTCATTTGCGCCTATATAATCATGCCAAGGTAAAATAAATACTTAATAAATAAATATTATTCCTATGACAGGGTTGCTGTTACTTACTTCTGTATTTCTGGTTAGACAAGGCATTCAGTCGCCACTCAATCTGCTGGAACAACTGACTAACATCACTGCCGGTGCCATGAAGTATTTCTCCTGTTTAGAGCACAAACAATAAAATCCTGCTTAATATAAAACCCTTTTTTATTATAAAAAAAAAAAAAATAAGAAAAAACTTGAATAATTTTAGAAAATCAAATATTTTTTCTAACATACCATGGTAATAGATCAGGGATAAAAATTACAAGTAAATTTACTGAAATAGTGTTTAAAAGCCAAAAATATTACATAAAAATATGACTTTAAATTATTTCACTGCTACTTGATTACTTTAGTGTGAGACAATAAATGTGCAACAAAAACCATTTCTATAACCCATTCAACAAAAATTAAACATGAAGTACTTGAGTAATAAAAAAATAATTGTATTTTTATTCTTAATGACAGTTGTTTAGAAAAAATAATAAAATTGATAATAAAATCATAATTTGTTAACACCTTACCATTTTATTTTTTTTTTGTAGCCTAAGACTTTAAACATTAGGGGTTTTCTAACAAAGAAATCCCAGCATGTATCTGTATGTTTTGTCTATAAATTTGGAGAGGGAGATGTTTTTGGCAGACATTCCAACACAAGATTAGAACCAACTAATATGTGTATATTTTATATATATATATATATATATATATATATATATATATATAATATAAAAGGCCCGTGGAATATTAGTGTTTGAGCCTTTTATATTATATTCTTGCTCTGTCCTGGACATTGAGCCCTACCTGGATTCTATCTTCTTGGAAATTTATCTAAATATCAGTGTCCACATTTTTATATATATATATATATATATATATATATATATATATATATAAAATTGTGGACACTGATGTCAACAGCTAGTAGTGGCAATGTTGCATTTAAGCAAGAAACATACTGGCACCACTAGATGTTGACATCAGTTTCTACGTTTTTTATATTTACAAATGCTCTATCCTGGATATTGAGCACATTTACTCTATAAATAGAGCATACCACAAACCTATATATATATATATATATATATATATATATATATATATTAGTCAAACTATTAAACTAAAGAGAATTAATAGCTTGACAACCTGGACCTTAACTTAGACATTAGGATGCCACAATGCATCCTCATGGTGTCAATGGAGGCCAGGAGATGAGAAAGGTGCAAGAAAGTGTTCAGGTACCTTAAGAGTCATTGATCCACCATTAAAATATTCTGATGAGAAAATCTTTGTAGTGGATGTTATTTTGAATTGTGAAAACAACTGATACTTCACAAAGTCAGCTGTTGGTATCATGGGTAACTTCAGGAAAAAACAATATGCCCAAGTCAGGTATTTGCATATCATGACCATGATGCTTTCATTCTTCTGAGTTTGGAGAAAAGGTAGGTGCTGATGCTTATTACAAGGTCTTAAGGCACCATAATTTGCTGTGAGTAAAGATACAACTACCCAGAGAAAAATCATGTGTGGATCCAGTATCCAACTACACAGCCACAAGTTCAGCAAAGGAAACTTCTTGCCCTTTCTAGCCCAAACTTGAACCTGCTTGACTGTGAGTTATTTTGATACAGATTATCAACAAGACTTTTTACTCTAACATCAATATTTTTAAGGCTGCCATTAAGGAATTGGCCAAGATGTCCAAGGATTTCATGGTTAAGAGTTTTTCAAGTTCATGTTGAGGCTTTAATTGAAAATAATGAAAAAAACACTGAATAAATTATTTGTTACAATATTATCTAAGTGTTTTATCAATATCCTTTTGTATTAATTAATTATTATTTAGACATAATAGCTTTCAAAGATCAAGGCAATTTTGCTTCCTCACCCTGTAAAATAAAAAAAGTTTTTTAAATTGACTTACGATCCAGTGAGTGAAGTTTAGGAAACATACTGAGGATTTTGGACTTGTAGTTTTGTTTTCTACATATTGGATTGGTCCGTTCATTATTTGGGTCTTGAAACATCAAATGCTTCAGTTTAGAGAGGCCACTGATGCTATAGAAAGTGTCAAGGCTATAGAAAAATAGACAAATATTTAAAGTAAATAACAACATATTAATTAAAGAACTAAATAAGTGTTTAAGCAAAACTTAAATAAGTGTTTCAATTATAGTGTATATATATATATATATATATATATATATATATATATACACACAGAGTGCGGCTGGTATTTGAGGACATACAGATTTAAGATTAATACTGCTTCCCACTAACTTCTAATGCTTTTATTTTTCAGAAATCAAGAATAGCAAACCCTATGATAACAAATGAAATGAAAAGGCATGCTGTGATTGTGGCTTTAAAAGCTGATCATAGCAATTTGGATATTGCAAGATCGTTTGTTCACAAGATATGAAAAGAATTAGAAGATGCTGACAGTTCCTCAATGTCTGTATCAAAATGTAAAAGACATTCTGTACATTCTGATAAAGTGAGAACATCCGAATTTATTCAGAAAGTCAAGCAGACAATTGATGAAAACCGAGGTCAATCAATGAGGTCAATTGCCAAAAAGCTACATGTGTCTGAAAAATCAATCAGAATGAAGACATTCGATAAAAGTCCTATGTGATGAAGAGAGGTCAATTTATGTCAGAAAAAACAAAAGAAAACCGTTTAAACAGATCCAAAAGGCTTTTAAACAAACTTAAAAATTCTTCAGAAGCTGGTGTGATTTGGTTTTTCTCAGATGAGAAAAATTTTGATCACGATCAAAAACTTAACTAAAGAAATGACAGATGACTTTGTTCAGATCCTTTTGAGGTGCCAAGAGTGATATGCACAAAATTTCCTTCAAGTGTTATGGTATTGGGTGTTGTTAGCAATGAAGGACATGTTATGCCAACACACTTTTTTCCACAAGGTCTTAGAGTAAATGCCGCTGCTTACATTGAGGTTCTAGAAACAGTTGTCAAGCTCCTGATTGACAACATATGCAACAGCAGGCCTTACATATTCCAGCAAGACTCGGCTACATCCCACAAGGCTCTATGAAGACAAGAATGGATGGCTGACCATTTGTACGACCACATCACACCCAACATTTGGCCTCCTAACTCATCAGATCTCAATCCACTAGACTATTATGTGTGGAGCATTGTTGAGAAGGAGGTTAATAAACAGCCTCGTAACACCAAAGACTCTCTTAAAGCTGCAATAGTTTGAATAATGTCTGACATAAATAAGGACCAATTAATCAGAGCTTGCAGCCGATTTCAACCTTGAGTAGAGGCATTTATTGATGCTAGTGGTGGTTTAATTGAATAAAATTAAATAATAGCTAAATTTCATGTTTACTTGTTTGTAATCAAATATAATTATATTCATTTGTTCAGCAAGTTTTTTACTAATCCATAAAATCTGTTCTCAAATACCAGCTGCACCATATATATATATATATATATATATATATATATACTTTAATTTTTTTTAGTAGGAGTTTACAGTGAAAACAGTAGTTTCCTGTATTCAAAATAATATATCCTATAACAAAACATTTGAGCAAACATTGTTCTCATTCCACTATCCATGTCTCAGTATATCTTGTCTTTTTTTTTCCTATATTGTTCAATTATTGCTAGTCCTGTTTCTGTTCAGTCTACATCTGTGCTACCTGGCCCAGAGATTGAACACACATTTACTATGCCACTAAAATATGCCCCACTATATAAAATAAAGTGTTCAGTTCAAAGTTACCTAGAGTGACAGACACCTGAAGAAAACCAGAAGATGCAACGACCAAAATGTTGTGTTAATAATAAGTACAAACACATGAGTCTTACTATAAATAATGTAAATTACTGAAATATTGCTGTCAGTTTTTGACAGTATCAGTTATCTAGCTCATAGTTTTGATCACCTCTGGATTTTCCTTGCTATGTTGATTTACTAAGTTTCACTTAATTATGGCACAAGACCATAACTATGGGAGTTGGCATGTAAGGATTGAACTCACTGATGAGAAATTATGATCTGCAAGACAAGTTAATCATTAAACCACAAGAAGCCTCAATTAAGTGAAATTTAATAACTATTCTTCAAAAAATATATACAATAAAAAAACACAAATCAAACTTTACAGTGATAATGCAAAAACATCTTAAAATTTCAATGAATTCTGCTTGCTTACAGCCAAATACATAGCTATTCAAGATTATTATATTTAACAATGATTTCAGCCATTAAATTTAGTATGCAGTGTTAAAAAAGGAAATGTTTGAAAGTATTCTGATATTATTAATACTTGTAATTAATTTCATAGAAAAAAATACTTTACCTGTCAATAAGATTCCCTGCAAGATTCAATGTTTCTAAGTTTTCTAAAATCTGCAGACCTTCTGAAAATAAACAAAAATTGATTAATGATTATTTTCTTAATTAAAAAATTCAATATATATAACAGATCTGTACAACATAATGAATATTAAATCGTTAAGTCATACAATTTAATTTCATTTATTAACAAGTTGGTATAAATATGTTTTGAGTTCTAAGAATGCTCCTTAAAAACTATATGACAGCCATAGTGTGTATATATATTAGTTTCAGAAGTAATATATTTATCAGCAAAGCAATACTATCTATATTTATGTTTTCACACACAAAAAAATATTTTTTGTTAAGTATATTATGAAAACCTGACAAACTAAATCAAAATTATTCTTTCTGTTGTACAAAAATGATTCTCAAACTATAATCTCAAGAATTGTAGTTTGATTTGCTTTTTTACAAATCTTCATTTTGTGGATATGTGAGTAGCACAGAAAGTGGAAACCATGAAGAGAGTTCAAATTCTAGCCTAATCTATTCCACTCACTTTGCACTAATGCCCTTGAGAAAGGCAGTAATTCATTTTTTCTCTTTTTTCTGATGGATTAAATAGCAAAGTAGATTGGGCTTTCTCGTTTTAGATAACAGCCAGTCTAGAACAACTGTGAATTCAAAACTATGGAGAAGGCAATGAAAAACCACTCCACTACCATTCTCAAGAAACCATAGCATTTTAATAAAGAAAAAGAATCTGTGGAGAGTCATGATCACCCATATCCTGAAGAGATAGCTTTGGAAGGCCACAGTATAAGGTATCCAATATGAATCAAACTTACTTATCAGTATTATTGTTTTGTTACCACTATACAGCACCTCTATTGCTTTATTTTCCCTTTGTTAATCCCCTTTTTAATTTATGTACATTTTAGATTGTCACTGTTTTTGACCATTTCCTGTTTAGCTCATTGTAGTTACTGGAACTGGCACAATAAACCACAAGGTCAAAGCACACAGTTCCTACTTTCTTATCCTCCAAATATCTACCCCCAATAATAGCATCACTGATACATAAACTTTTTCTCTAAGTATTGGTCTCCTTTAATATCATATTAATATTTGAACATTTGTTTAAGGTAGCCACTTTGTATACATTTATTTTTGCTGCTGTACTTCATCATGTTGAACCCCCTTTCACTACATGTTGACTGTTCTAATACTGTAACATAATGTAACTTTCTTCCTTTTTGTCGATTATTATTGTAAACTGTAAAACATATTCCTGTAAACAAACTATTTGCTATCTCCTTTAACACTGTACTGTTTAATAACCCATGCTTCAGACTGACAATGATTCACCAGGCATATAGTAGTTTCTGCCTCAAGGAGAAATGAGCACAGTTTATATAGAGCTGAGAGGTTGAGTCTATTAAGAACTGTGGGGGAGATAAACATGCTGCTAGCAAGAATCTACCAAGTTATGAGGGGAGAACTTCTAAATCTAAAAGCAACAGAACAATAACAGATATAACATATTCCTCCAATTATTTTTAAAATAAAATAACAATGGAATTTATAGGTTAATAAGCTTTCCAGTGGCAAGAACTTCTATCAGCCTGCTAGAATCTGCTCATCTCTTTGTCAATACATCTGCAAGTTGAAAGGTGATGTGGGCCCATTTATAGACTGTGTATCTCCCTGGGTGATCATTCCTTGGATCTCAGCAATGTTAATTTGCAGTCATTTTTCACGGACTTGCTTTATGGGATGAATATTTTGATGTAAAGATCTATTGTCTGCATATACAGCAATGGGTATTTTATTTGTGGTATAGCTGTTACAGTATATCTCTGTCAGGAGTTGGCTTCATCAACTGCATCATACATTGAAAGTGTGTCAGATGCTAAAATACTGGACACCTTGCATTTAATTTTGTTGGATGTCCAAGATAGTGGACAACACTTCTGCTCTTTACCAGTTAGAAATATGGGACTCCAGCTGGAAGGTTACCCCATGATGCATCACAGAAGACATCAATTTTCCATTCTCTAAAGTTTCCAAGATTGGGGAAGCAGATATTTATTTCAGCTTGTTTTGCTTGGTAGACTGCTTTGTAGGCTCTCAGGAACTGCTCAATTGTTGGATATTGCTTTGACATATTGAGTTTCAATGCATTTAAATTCAAATCTGGTCATGTTTGTGTCACTAACCAATTTAGCTGACCAGCTGTTGTTCTTAAAGAATCCATTTCATTTCTGTTCAGTAGGGATGTTCTATGATTTTTTCTGCTTGCAGAAATTGGAATTTCCTTCATTTCTGCTGCATACTCATTTTGGTTTACTTGAATGGCATTACTTTTATTTTGTGACACATTCAAACCAACATAACAGAAATTTTCTATGGATCTCTTTCCAACTTTATATCTTCTGGCAATGGGATCAATGACACTCTTGTTAAAATCATTAGTTCCTGCAAATAAGAAATCATCCACATGCATCACAAATATTCCTTCTAATTTTTCATTGTTATACCACCTAAAGAGGGCTTTATTCAACTCAGACTGCTTACAACCCAATCTGCTAAGATCATATTTTACACTGAAGTACCAATTTCAAGATGCATCATCAAGGCCATATGCTGCTTTGTTTAACTTCCATATTAAACCATCTTCTTTTATTTATATCAGTAGCATAATAAATATATCTATCAAGTTGTATTGCCCTGCAAAAATGCCACTTTGATGTCAATTGTTTCACATTTCCATCCCTTACTTTCTGCTATTGCCATCCCTATTCTAAGTTTAGACTTACTAGCAGTTGGAGAATCTGATTGAACACTCTTCTTCAAAACTTCTTACAACCAATCTGGCTTTCATTTGTTTCTTTCCTCCAGCTAAAGGATTCTCTGTCACTACCCAGCATGTTGACAGTGACTTCTAGCCCCTGTCCTGTACCTCTTTGTAGACATCAAAAACACTCCAATTTTCCAGTTCCTGCTCCTTTGCCTTGATGACTTCAGGCTTCCAGTGACTGTCAACTTACATAAAAATCACATTTGCTTCATTCTGATCACTCTCTCCCCCACATGTAGGTCCATCTTCTTTTCTATTGTCGTCAATTTCTTCTTTATCATATTTCAATATTTTATATTCTAATTTATTCAAATGTACTCCCAGCATTTCTTTGTCTTTTTCATTCATTATATTCACATAATATTTCTTTCTGTGGATTTTCCTCCTCTACTTATCACTTTAGCATGAGTCCACTCCTCACTTTCTGCTAATCAATATTTGATTATTTCATCGACTTTAAGAATTTTCTGTGATCTCATGTTTTCACTTTCATTTTGTATTGTGGACTTTCTTGGTTCTGAAACTTGCTCTTCCTGTCTCTGATTATCCTCTTTGTCATATAACTCTGGCATATATTCTTCCAAACTTATTAGCCCATCATCCTGATCTTCTTCAGGATGGTTGACATCTTTATCTTCACCATGAGTCCCATCAAGTTCTTTTTTGTCAGTCTTTAATTCTGTCCCATTTGCCTTAATCACCCTACATGTTGCAACTTGGACTAACTGACTTCATCAAGTACATCAGCATTTTTTATGATTGCTTTCTGGTTTTTTAGCTGAAGGATGCGCAAACTGGAGATGTAGTTTATGGATCATAATCTTCTTTTCCTTGCATGAATTCTGATCAGCCACTTTCTCAATTTTTACTTCGCATTCTTTCAGTAGAATATAGTAATGTCCAGAGGATGTATATCCAATTCAAGAGATCTTCCATTGACTTCCAATGTGTCATTCTCCATGTTTAATTTGAATCCCATCCTTTTCATGGCTGGTTTGCTTAGCAGTAGAGGAATATCGCTGTCCACTACTTCTGTTCTTAGGGTTATCTTTTGCCCACCAATAATACTAAGAATCTCCATTCCAACTGTATTTTGTCTCCTGTACCAAACTTGAATGTTGTTCCACCTGGCAGAAATTTGTCTTTTCTTTTGCTTGCTGATAACAAAGCCAAATACAACTTTTTCAGTTGCTGGGCATGAATGGTTTTTACTTGCAAGCACTATCTAGAATGTCAGCATTGATTCTTTCACTCATGAGGACCTGTTTATTCTCATATGAGTAAGCACCTATTTTATAAGCTTCACTAACTTCAGCATTTTCTTGTACTTTTGATGTTTCAAAAGCACTTGCTTCTTGATTTCTTTTTCTATATGAACAATCCTTTTTGAAATGCATAATTGATTCACACACCAAGCATTTAACATAATTACCAGCTTCATCATGTGGATTTCTATAAATGTAAGCTATACTTACTCTTCCCCAGTATGCTTCTCTTCCTGATCTTCTACCTCTTTGGAAAACCTGTACTCCTAAATTGTGCTTCATCCAGTTTACATATCTGTCTACCACCATATACTGACCATGCATCACCATGATTGTATCATTTGAATCTTCTTCCTTGATTATTATTTTTACTTCCAGAAATATATGTTTTCTTTGAATTTGCTGTGTACACAGATTCTTCTTTAATAGCTATCTCATCTATTCTGTATTTATATGACATTCCTTGGTTCCCAAAAACTTTCTAAGGGCATTCTTCATACATTTCCTCTTTCTTCATATAATCAACAGCTGTAAGAACAATTTGTTTGTCTTTTTTATCCAATCCAGTGTGGTTGATAAGTTGCATAGCCAGAACTATCTAAGCTAAAATGATGCTTTGCTTTTTTAGCTCTTTGATATTCTTCTCATAAGAATTGAGAAACTGATCCATTGTATCCAACTCTTTCATCAAAAGATTTTTATATGAACACCATGTTTTACATATAACACTCAGATCATCTTTTTTAAATGACTTATCTAAGATAGTAAAAATCTACTCAGCAGCATTCTCATCTTCAATCCTGATTTCTTCATTCTGCATGGTCAATCTCATTTTCTCGTTGACACCTTTTTCAGTTGATACTATGTTATAGATTGCCTCTTATCTGTCTTGGTGAACTGAGTCCATAATTTGACATTTGTTGTGGCCTGTTAGGGGCCCAGAAAGAAAGACACA